TCCCAAGGATGTGATTGGAAAGTTGTCTGTTCACTGCCATTTCTTTTTTTTTTTTTTTTTTTTGAGAGAGAGAATTTTATTTTTTATTATATTTATTTTTTAGTTTTCGGCAGACACAACATCTTTGTTTTTCGTATGTGGTGCTGAGGATCGAACCCGGGCCACACGCATGCCAGGCGAGCGTGCTACCGCTTGAGCCACATCCCCAGCCCCATGTTCACTGCCATTTCTCCATCATGGTGGTTCAGACTTATCCTTCACAGATCACAGCCAGATTGGCCCATCTAAGTGCCACACCCCTCAAGCCTGCCCTGCCACACTAGCTGCTTGAGAGACGCAGGGCCCGACAAAAAGAAGCCCAAGGAAAGTGGGCCAACTAGACAGAATAGTCTTGAACTTCCTTTTCTGTCTGCATATCTCCCCCTCAGTGTAGGTGGGTGAGCTTTGAGGGACTCTAGAATCCAAAACTCCAACTGCATCTAATGCCTATTTGTGGATAAAGTCCTTAAAATACATAAGATCACCAAGACAGTTGAAAATGTAGACTAAAGCATGGGTGACTTGATTGGGTATCATCTGAGCTAATAAGACAAATTAGGGTGTCCCGGATAGAGACAGGGTAAGTTCTCAAACTAGCAGTGGGGCTAAGATCACTGCTCTTGATAATATGGCCCCTGAATATGAGATCTGGCAGCATGCAAGATATCAGTTGTGGAAGATTCTCATCCCAGGGAGTTCTCAATTGCTGTTCAACTAGGATGACTTCTAAAATTGAACCACGGGAGTGAAACCATAATTACCAAAAAATAAAAAGAGGTCTAACTTACTAATTACTAAATAATATTTGCTGTAACTTGCATAGGTAGGCAAACAAGGAAGGCAGGGGACATAAAGGAAAAGATGTTTTCAGTGTTTATGTAACTCTCCGTGGAAGAAAGGCACGTGAGATTAGGCACACACAGCCTTCCCAGCCTGGGAAACGTGTTCTCTGCAGCAAGGTAAGGAAATTTCTCTGGCTCTCCCACAGCCTGGAGGAAATCTTTTCACAAAATCAGCCAGGTCCTTTTCCTCCAATTCCTCGCTTCCCTAGCAACCATCTAACCATTAATTAAATTGGCATTATGGTTTTTAAATGAGTCTTTTATGATTTGCTTATCATTAATCAAACCCTTAGGACTTATCCACCTCAAGGGGAGCTGACAAAATTGAATTCTTTAACCTACAAAAATCCAGGGCCCCCACACTGTCACTGCCCTCCCCCCCTCTCCCCACACCTGGGGAGGCCCAGTCCAAGTACTTGACCAGCCATGTGGCTAATCAGCTTATTCACAGTCATGTTAGAGAACACTCGGTGTGGACAGACCCCTGACTTGCCGTTTGACATGCACCCTCAGAAACCACGTTAAGGAGAAATGGTTTATCTGTGATACGAAAAATGATAATATAAATATAAATATTATAATATAAATAAATATAAATATAATAATATATTATATAATAAATGAGGCTGTACATTAAGAGGGAGAAGAATCTTAAACCAAGAGAGGCCCGAGTTGCTCATTAACCACCACATATTCTGAAGGAGGAGGAAGAATGTTGTTAACAAATCAGTCTTCTTCACCTCTATTAAACATCTAGATGGTAGCCACAAGGCCAAAATGTGAAGAAACACAGTACATGGGGAGGAGAAGACTTAAACTTGTAGCTTCAATGTTGCTCTAATTCTCCTCTGGTTTCCCAGCCCCGGATCCTGGTTACCTATAGTGTCGCCACAGCTCACACAGCATCTACAGCAACCACTTAAAACTCCAGGAATGTGGTGACCCTTGACCTCAACTCATCTGTCTCAACAGATCCCACGTCACCATCCTCTGAGAAGAGCTTTCAGAAATTCAAATAAACACGGAAAAGGCAGATTCTCTTCTCTTTTGGGGAACTGTGTTTATCCACATGACCCTCTCTCATCCACAGACTGCCTCTCAGGCAAGAAGCAGTGGACTTCTCTTGTATGTGTCATTGCTATTTATTTCACACAAGCAGCCCTTTGACAAAGAATGCTCTTCTTCTCTCCTTTTCAATTTTCCTTCCTGCCTCAGCCTTGTTCTCTCACCTAAAGCATGCATGCTTCCTCTCTAGAAACTGTCTGGCTCTGACTGCAGCCTACCTGTATTTGTCTTCAATCCTCTGCACAAATTTTCTCTTCTTTTGATATTAAAATAATCTCTATCTCTATATGTTTTATCAATGATTTTCCAATCAGACTCGGGATCCTCCTGTACTCTGAATTGCCTCACTTGCTCTCCACCTCTTTGTCTGGTTCAAATTCAAATTTTATTAATGATTTCCAGATCAATGCAGTGGAGAAGGCAAGCAAGTTGAAGTGTCCTAGGGCATGTGGCTTGGAGGGTGCTCTAACTCAGTGACTGACAGAATCAACTATTAAATAATGTCAATAGGATGAGGTGGTAAGTTGAAACTAACTGGATGAGATAAATCCAAGATAAACTTGAGCTTCCACATTTAGGTTAAACTGGAAAAATGAGCAAAGCACAGGACAATGGAAACTCTATGGTTATTTTAGATCTTTGTCGCCCGTAGGGTCACAATGGGTAGTGTTATAATGAAGAGGTGAGTCATAGCAACTACAATTGAAATGCCCTAAGGGTGCACATTTTGCCATAGTCCTGTGAGTTGATCTGATTTTTTTTTTGGATGATGTATCCAGTTTAGTGCATCACATTTGAAGAGGAACATTGACTAATGGGAAAATGCTGAAGGACAAAGTTCTGGTGAAGATTCCAGGCATCAGAAGAGAAAGCATTCAAATAAATAGGGATATCTATTTGGCAAAAAGAAAATAAGCTGTCATTCACTACTTAACTTGCTACTGAAAGATCCCAAATCACAAACACTAATTTTCAAGAGGCTGGGCAGGCACATAGACAAGGAAAACAGGACATGCATTAAAAGAACCTCAAGTATGACAGTGCCACTGGAAATATCACCTGGCCTCTGACATGAAGGAAGGCATGTGAATGAGATGCTGCTGGTTGCTGTCCTGGCCAACAGAGATGGCCAACTGCTGCCATCTTTTCTGATTTCTTAAGACGAGATAAAAATCCAGATTTTTATGCAACATGTCTCAATTTCAACTTTAGCAACTTATTTCAAACCGTTTCAAGAAACACTGGTGTCTCTGGGCTGGTGGCAGCCCAGCGTTGCCAGTTCACAAGGTCTATAGGAGGCAATTCTTAGTTTCTACAGGGTGTAGTACTAAAACGTATGGGTGGAAGATTTCTGGGTTGTGAAAGAACTTTTGAAGATTTAGGATTTGCAGTCAGGGAATAGACTATCTAGGTTCTGAGCAACAGGAAATAATCAAGAGGATAATGGATGACAACATATGATATTAAAGGATTTTCTCCTTAGGCCTAGATGCTGAACCAAATCATGTTACAATTGTGATTTTGCAGCAGAATCATGGTTTCCAGTGTATAAAACGCTTTTGTATCATCATATAAAAGTTACTAGATCAGTCCTTTGAAGTAGAAAAGTAGGTGTTTCTATTTTACAAATGAGTAAACTGAATGTCTAAGATACTAAGTAACTCTCTGAAGTGTCCAGGAAACTGAGTAGCAGAACTAGAGTCTGATGACTCATGGCCTCTAACTCCAAATTCAAAACTCTTTCCACTGCTACTTCATCTTCAGACTCTGAGGCTACAGGATTCCAGCCCTAGTTAATGTTCTCCACTGGATTTGCTCATTATTCCTTTGCTACAGTTAACCCACTCTCCTGGAGTCTCCTACACCCATCCATATTCCTCGAATACCTCCTGTCCCTTCCCCCACACCCTGAAAGCTCTTATCTTTCATAATTTCTTATTAAACTTCCAACCAGACTCTGTCAGCTGTGGGAATGTTCCCCCAATTCTAGTGCTCCAAACTGGACTCATCCTTGAGATGCGTTTATCCAAAATGTTTGTCTTCTATCTCTGATATATTTGTCTTTATAAGGACAAAGACCTGTCTTAATTTATGCATGAACAAAGGCACACAGACATGCACATACATACTAGAGTTGGTACTTATCAATAAATCATCAAATTATTATAATTCCTAGACTTGTAGGTCATCCAGGAGGAAGAGTGTTGTCAACTCTAGTTTCTATTTCTAACAATCATCTCTACCTCCTTCCAGATATTTTAACTTTGACAGAAGCCAGCTGGGTAGCCTTATTCTTGCATGTTCAGTGAGGAGACACAGTAAAGATTTGGTTCTCTGTATTTCAGGCTCATCAATGCCAAATTGAAATATGCTATTATTCCCTGGGTTGAGGTGAACCTTATCTGGGAAGAATACATCCTCACATATACACTCAATGTAGAGAAATCACTAAGCAGGGCCTCTGAGTGACTAAATGACTGTTTGGTTAAAACATGCTTTTGAGAATGAAGCACTGCTGAGGGTTTTTCTTGTTGGCTCATGGACATATATATAGTGCCATGATGTTTTCCAATGTACTATTATTTAAGCCAGTGCAACCTAATATCATTCAACACATACACACCAAAAAAAAAAAAAAAAGAAAAGAAAAATCACAAATTACATCTGTCATCTAAAATGAAAGACAAAAATGAATAGCAAATGGGAAACATGAACAGAAATAAAGCAGGGTGGAAGATCCCAAGAATGCTGCTTCCATTAGTCAAGCAGGGAGAGGCTAATTTTGCTCTGTTTAGGTTGGGTTTTAGTGATCCAACTAGTCAAATGACCAGTTAAGAATATTCCACAGAGCTAATGTTCCGATGCTCTAATCTCTGTAGACAAGGTTCATATTTGTGTGGGTTACTTATTCTCCCTTTGTTGACTAAGTCAATAATCAGAATCAGCAGGTTTAGAGTCAGATTGGCAGGGATCAGCAGCCTGGATTGGAAAAAGAGGGTATAAAAGCCCCAAACCAAGAGTAGCCATCACAGAAGTCCACTGGGTCCTGACAGGATGGCTTCTCACCATCTACTCCTCCTCTGCCTCGCTGGACTGGTATTTGTGTCCGAAGCTGACCCCGTGGTGAGTGTTAATTCTGTCAAGTCCCTTTTGGACATTGCAGATGTACATTAGATTAAATAGAAGTGACTTCTTCCAGCTTTAACAACCAGCTTGTGTTACTAGGGCAAGGGTACTCAGCACCTACATTTAATATCATTGATTTGAACTTCAAAAACAGCTTAGGGCTTTTTTCTCTGTTGTGTTCTTTACTCTGTTGCTTTAGTGCGTTAAGTCTCAGTGCCTAGCACACCAGTGTCCTCAGACACATGATAGAAATAAAGATATCATCTTAATGAAGCTGATAATATTGAATTTTCCTGAAAGCATCCCTTTATAAATATAGTTAGGGCGCAAACTACAGAGATTATACTCTGGCCCTTTGGCTAATCTGAATGTGTTTATGGATTGATTAATGTTTGTTTGGTGAACAATATTCCAGTCAGATATCTGACTCTTAAATCCTCTGGAAGAATTAACTAATACTACCAAAGGGGCCAGGAAGTACTCTGACATTATTTGACAACAGATAGTAAGAGGGAATTACTATAGCAACCACTTATTAAAACGACCTCAGGAAAAACTATTCAGTCCTATGACACATTGCATCTTTTCAGTATTTCACTCAAATGGAGAGGCTGAACAAAGCAACCGTTCTCAGAGGGCCCATTTTATCCTTGAAAATTCATTATGCACGTCCCTGGTCGATAGCAGTGTGTCTGGAGGCAGAAACCAATCTTGCTTTGGAAACAATTATGCCTGTAATATACTGAGTGGGAAAGCTCATTAATTGTCAACACTTATGTTACTGGTAATTGGATCAGCATGTATTTCCGGCTTTGTTGTGGATTTCCAACACCATAAAGAATAAGTCCTTTCATTCTGGTTAATTTTGTTGACTTCTCACATGTCTCTCAGGGCACTGGTAAAACCAACTGTCCTCTGATGGTCAAAGTCCTAGATGCAGTGCGAGGGAGTCCTGCTGTGGAGGTGTCTGTGAAAGTGTTCAAAAAGGCGGCTGATGGCACCTGGGAGCCATTTGCCTCTGGGTAAGCTTCCAGAGAACCCTGCCATGGGATTTGGTTCTATCCTTCCATTCACCCTTTCCACTTTTTCCATCACCAGCTAAAGAACCTACAAGTACCCAGTGGCTTGGAGGTGGAGGCAGGAGGATCGTGAGTTCAAACCAGCCTTGGCAACTTAGCAAGGCCTAAGCAATTGAGCAAGAGCCTGTCTCAAAATAAAACATTAAAAAGGGTTGGGGATGTGGCTCAATGGTTAAACGTTCCTGGGTTCAATCCCTGGTACCCACCCCCCACACACAAAAAAAAAAAACTCCTATGAATAGATTGAAAATGTAGACAAATATGGCCTGAGAAGGATGTCCTCTTGCTTTGCTTAGCTGGAAGTGACCAGAGCATCATTTAGGGCTGATGATAAGAAAAAGAAAAAGATGGAGTGTCTAACTGCTCTACTCTAACAGGAGTCAAACTTTTCAGGTCGCAGACTACTTGAAGAAAGTGAGAAAACTATAGACGCCATTCCCAGAAAAATGCACAATAAACACACTATACAGAAATATATATAGAATTTCAGGATTTTCACAGATTCCTAAGGTGAATCTAAAGTTCCCTAAGGTGACATCCATGCTGGAAAAATTCTTAAAATTTTAAGCATGATGGACAATGTGTGTTAATTTATTAATAAAAAGAAAGGAATTGAGAAAGAGCATTGAGGGGACACCTAGGAGGAGTTTATATAGAATCCAGGGCTTTTGTACCTACTATGTACAAAACTGGCTATTGTCAAGCTTAATTAAAAAAAAAAAAAACATCTAGGAGAAGGACATGTAAGGCAAATTCTAGCCACAGATTAATCTCTCCATCACCCATCAGTGTGGAAAAATGACTTCTCACCTTTTATTAACCACTTTACCATTTTCATAGAGCTTTTCTACCTCCACTAGCAAGAATTTCAAACAAAATCCATATTAGTAAACCTAAACAAACTAACCAAAGGAAGCATCACTAAGAAACCCTCATCATCAAGCAGAAAAGAAGCTCTGAAGTATTTCATCTCCTGGAGAAGAATTTCTGTTGGGTTTTAATTGAATCCCAAGAACTACTTTATGAATCTTCTTCACCCATCATTAGGAAGATCATTTCCCTCATGCAGTTTTAATTGAGATTTTATTTTTTAACTCACTCATGTTTATGTAAAATGCCAAGCCCAACATGGGAGATATTCTACGTGGGAGATAGACTGGACACCAAAAGTATTCAGATGTTCCTATACCAAGACACACATGCACAACACATAAAAAAGGAACTGAAAAGAAAAAACAGGGGCAGTCATGATCAAAATCACTAAAGACAACTTCCGTTTTTATCCGTCTTGGGTTTGTAGTCTAATTGGGAGCCATTTCTAACATTTCAACAATTGAGCGGGTACCTAAATAGAAATAGAATTTCCCTAGTATTTTGTTTTGGCAAAGAAATACCAAAGAGATCAATCATATAAAAGGAACAAGAGTCAATATAGGCTCTGCTTTGTATTTTAGATTTCCCACAGTGTGAACAAATAGTACTCTCTGAAAGACAGCCACATGCCAGTGGGGACAAAAGTGATATCCTGTGGTCCTGGGGAACAGGAGAGTTCCTTATGGCCACTTAGAGCACCTTATGGCCACTTCCAGGGTGTGTCCTGAATTTTCATCCAATCACCAACCGTGAATCCCAAGATTTTATTATTGTTATTGTTGTTGTTGCTCTGAGGATAGAATCAGAGCCTCACACATGGTAGGCGAGTGCTCTACCACTGAACTACTTCCCCAGACCTAAGACTTTTTAAATTAACATTATACCTGTATTTTGTTCTTATAAGAACAAAAATCTACAATGAGATATTTGGAAAGTTTCAAAAAATTTCTTGCCACTTGATTTCAGAGAGTTACTAGTTTGGTTGAAGGGGAAAAAAAAAAAAAAAAAAAAAAATAAAAAATAAATATTATATATATATATATATATATATATAATATCACACATACATATGTGT